TCAAAGAAGCACAATATGGTGGACCTATTCCTGGCCATAGTGTGTGGAGTTATCCTGGTTCCACCAATCCCCAACACCGCCGTGTACCCCTGGTTGACTTCTTTCCAACTAATGCGGTTCTATCGAGTAATCCTCCTCTTCCCAGGCATGAAGACGCTCTTGGTGCGTTGACCTTTGATGGGTGAATGCGATCTATGATAGCAAACTAATGTTTACTCCAATAGTTCCAAGTATTCGGCAACATGAGGGGACTGCTGAACATGTCCATATTCCTTTTGCTAGCAAACTTCCTTGCTGCTCTCTTTGCCATTCAGCTCTTTCGTGACGACGTGCCACCAGACTTTAATCTGAATTTCCAAGGCATAGGAACAGCTTTTCTCGCAATGTATCAAGTTTTCTCGTCTGAAAATTGGACCGATATACTTTGGGAGACGAGCAATGCGGAATTTCCCTTCAAGCAACAGGTCGTGGCTATCCTCTTTGTCGTCGGTTGGTTCTTCTTTGCCAACTGTACGTATCCATACTACTCGTAAGGAATCTTCTAATAAGATTGGTAGTCATTATGCTTCAAATGTTCATCGCCGTTATCAACGAGGTGAGGCCTTCTGATTGGATACATATTTGCAATGCTGACATTAGCATAGAACTTTGAGGTAGCCGAGGAACAGAAGAGAGCAGAACAAGTCAACGCGTTCATCCGTCGTGCAGAGCCTACGGCAACTACGATAAATTGGATTGATCGCTTCAACCCATATCGTCGTATGAAGCCAAAGCCCAAGGCTATCAATGTGGACGCGTTACCAGACAATTTGGTCCTTCCAATCAAGAAATCCGTCGTACGTTAATACAGGGCTCCAGGAGAAACCAGTGTATGTGATATAACGGGATTGTTTAGTCAAATGACTGAAAGACTTTTAGACTCAGGCTAGTGTCCGTGGAATTAGCGATACAGCGATCATCCAAGGGCCGTTAGGGACCATGAGACGACTCATGGGTATGGACCCAACCTTCGAGGTGGTGCCTTTATCTACATTGAATCGCACACGGCCAAAATCAGAAGCTCGAGATACTATGGAACTAGACGATACGGAACGGCATTTGTACGTGATATGGTGCTTTTCTGTCTACTTTATAAATGACAGTTTCTCAATAGGGAAGCTATTAATGCGGTCAATCATGACACTACTGCCGAAGACAACCGGAATGCGCTTCTAGAAGACAGGGCCCAAAAGGCCGATTTTATTAGCGAGCACCCATCTTATGACACTACTCTCTGGATCTTTACTCAGAGCAATCCGATTCGGCAAGTGTGTCAACGTCTCGTCCCACCGTCCAATGGTGATCATGCCGAACGAATCTATGGTTTACCTCCTTCTCCTTGGCTTGAGTTCGGTTTCCGGGCCATTGTATTGGTGACAATCATCGCTGGTATTATCATTGCCGGCATTGCAGGTCCCATGTATCGACGCACATATTTCAGAATTAACGGAACGCAAACCGTCGCTTGGTTTGATTTGGCAGAGGCGGTCTTTGGATTTCTTCTCGTTGTGGAGTTCTTTATCAAAATCATTGCGGATGGGTTTATCTTCACGCCTAACGCTTACCTCCTCAACATCTGGAATTTCTTGGATTTGGCCATTCTCATTGCCATTTTGATCAACGTAATGACGTCTCTAATCATCCTCGGCGGACTTACGAGGGGGACAAGAGCTCTCAAAGCGTTCCGGGCGCTTCGTCTCATCACTCTTATTGGCTGGATGCGGGAAACCTTCCACTCTGTCATCATCGCTGGTGCTCGTCGTATCATAGACGCAGCCGTGTTGGGTAAGTTCACTAGCCAACTCTTCTGGTCGTTGTCTCATTGTTTTTTTTAGCGGTTCTCTACATGATTCCTTATGCAGTATGGGGTTTAAATATCTTCTCCGGGAAAATGTTTGCTTGCAACGACGATAGCGCTCTCGGAAAAGATGACTGTCAATTCGAGTACATGGCGTCGCCTGTCGATAAATCTCTGACCTTTTTGGCTCCAAGAGTATGGGATAACCCCTCACC